TCCCCCTCGATTTGGATCAGCCGGAGACCTTCAAGGAGCAGAGTAGGGAGGCATTCATTGGAGGCCCTGAAGGTGGAGCCCAGCCAGGGGGTCTTTGGGCCCTTGTGGACAGGGACCCCCCAGCCCCTAAAAGAAAGGGCTGCCTGTGGTGACGTGGGCCCGTGCTTTGCAGTTTGTCAAGAACAACCTGAGCCCCATCTGGGAACCCTTCAAAGTGTCGCTGAACTCCCTTTGCAGCTGTGAAGAGAAGCGGAAGCTGAGGGTGAGTTTTTGGGGGGTGAAGGGCCCCTCAACGGGCTGGTGCCCTAGCCCAGCCCCCCAGCCACTTGGGCTGCAACTTCAGCAGAGCCCCCAGGGCACTAGAAGGGCGGCTTGCCCACAGTGCCGGCACCCCGAAACACCGCTTGCTTATGTGCTGCGTCCTGCCCTCCGAGACCAGCCTGCGCAGGGCTGCGTGGGGGCAATGAGGTTGTCACGCCTGCCTCACCCGGCTCCAGGGTGGGGCGAGGAGGTCGGGCCCTTGGCATAAAGGGGCCCATTCCCTGTGGGGTGCTGAAGGGCCGTCTCCTTGCGCGCAGTGCATTGTCTTCGACTATGACTCCCGGGGCAAGCATGACTTCATCGGAGAGTTTTACACCACTTTTGAGGAGATGCAGAAAGCCACGGGCGGCAACAAGGTTGGTGCTCAGGGAGGAGGCCGGCAGCCCACCAGGTTGCTCCAAAGCCGGGGGGCTGCCTGGAGAGAAAGCGGCCGTCCACGGGGGCTGGATGGGTCTGGACCATGCCCAGGGAGCTGAATTTCCCAGCAGAAATAGGGCGAGACTCTACTTCCCTCCCCGCAAACCAGATCCAGTGGGACTGCATGAATCCGAAGTACAAGCTGAAGAAGCGAAACTACCGAAATTCTGGCGTGGTCATTCTCCTGGACCTGAAGGTAAGGGGAGCGTCTGTGGGTCAGCCCCTCATTCTAAGCGGGGGCTGCACGGGGCCTGGGCAAAGGGGAATCTGCGGACCGGTGGGGACTGGTCTCCTCTGAGCGCTTGTAACCCGACCCCAACAGGCCCCTGCCCCCTTCACCCTATCTGTGGGTCACAGCGGGCCTGGGCCCCTCCTCGTAATTCTCTCCTCCTGCCCGTTGGGCTCCTGCCTGCTGGGCTGCAGATCTGTCGCCTGAGTTGGGCACAGAGCTTGGCTGGCAGGAAGCAGGTTTCATCCACCTCTGCTTTTGGCTGACGCGCGGTTTCTCTGGAAGATTCACAGGGTCTACTCCTTCCTGGATTACATCATGGGTGGCTGCCAGATCCATTTCACGGTGAGTAGCCGCGCCCGGCCTCCTCGGTTGGCACACAGCAAGCCAGAGGTCTGTGGCAGCCAGAGCCAGGCAGGAGGGCCCCTCCTGCTTCAGCCCAAGTGCTTTTCGGTGCGGGGGGGGGGCTTGTTTATCAATCCCTGCTTTTCCACTTGCAGCCAAGTTGTGCAGATATCTGTTCTTATCTTGGCAAGTGAGATGTTGTCCTTTGCAGGCCAAGTGGGGGGGGAGGCAGGGGGCTTTGCAAATGTGGGCTATAGATCTTCGGCTGTGCCTCCCGGCGGGCTGGGTGCATGCCAGCTCCTTGGTCCCCTCAGCTCCTCGCCATCCCTGTTGGAGCGCCCCGTCAACAGCTCTGCACAGATTTCTCTCTTTAAAAACAAGAAGCAGGCAGATTGCGTTTTGAAAGAGCATCTCCTTCCTGGAGTGAGTCAGTTCCCAGAACATGCCAGGAACAGATTGCTGGCTCCAGGCCCACTTCGCTGGTTAGGGCAAGAGATGGGCAGCGTCCAGGAACGAGGGCCCGTCATTCTCAGGGTGTGCGTGAGGGAGAGAGAGGGAGACGGCAACTCTGCCATCGTTCCAAGTTCAAAAAACAGGGTATGCCAGGTGATTCTGGTTCCTTCGGGTGGGTTTGTCTTTACGCCCCCAGCCCGCAGGACAGTTCGAGCAGCAAACGTAGAAGATCCTGGGGATCTTCTATCAGCCTCTCCCAATCTCACGCCTTTCGACTGTGGCCGATTTCGGGGCCCATCATCCTCAGGCCTCCTGACAAATGATGGGCAAGGGTGGGTCTTCCCACCGTGATTTAGCCAAAGAGCTGGGGAGACTAACCTTTAGAGCTGGAGGCCCCCTGGCTCCCTGGTTCTGACCTCTTCCCCATCTGCCTTCCCCCCAGGTTGCCATTGACTTCACAGCCTCCAACGGGGACCCCCGAAACAGCTGCTCCCTCCACTACATCAATCCTTACCAGCCCAACGAATACCTGAAGGCTCTGGTGGCCGTGGGGGAGATTTGCCAGGACTATGACAGGTGACCGAGGGGGGCCCAGTGTTGCCAGGCCCCAGCCCTGCCCTGTGGGTTCACCCCCTTCCTCCACCCTTCCTGGATGGGGGAGGGGCAGAGAAAGTAGGCCTGGGCTGGGGCATCTCCTCCATGCCATCTGCAGAGCCTTTCTCAGGATCTGTGGCACCCCAAAATCATTGTGGCCCTGATAGATGTATCGCTTGGCCATTCTAGATGTGATCTGGTGTGTTTGGACTGAAGGTATACCTCTGAAGACTTCCCCCCACACACAGAGCAGCCGGGAGGGATGACAGTTCTGGGGGGGGGCACAGCAGAGGGACTGAACCCCTCCTTGGCTGCTGCAGGGCTTAAGGGGCTGGGAAAAGTCCAGCCCCAAACTCTGCCAAGCTGCTTTCAGTCCCAAGGCATTTTCCCCTGTCCCCGAAGGGGATGTTACACTTCAGAGCAGAGGGTCCCTCCCTGGCCAGCTCAAGCTTCATCCCAGCCACTTTGGAGGAGTCTCCCCCTGCCGTGGTGAAGCCAGGGGTCTTGGGGGAAAGCTGAAGATTGGGTGGGACGTGGGTGATTGGCTTCCTGGCCCTCCGCAGCCGGAGTGACCCTGATTCCTGCTTCTCCACAGTGATAAGAAATTCTCTGCCCTGGGCTTTGGAGCTAGGATCCCCCCCAACTATGAAGTAAGTCAAGGGACGTGCGTGGAACAAGGTGTGGGGACCCGAGAGGAGATGGTTGGGCAGGGTCAGTAGAGGAGACGCATCCTGGTCCCAGAGGCAACTGGCACTTTGGAGAGGAGGCTGGTCACTGTTTCTGTGGGAGGCCGGATCGCCAGCTGGGTGAGCTTCAATCGCACTGTCCGGCTGGCCTCTCCGCTCTTCTGACCACCCCTGGCGTCTTATCGACTGACCTGTTTCAGGGGCTCAGCGCGATGCTGGCTCTTGAAGGTTCTGCCTCTGTCAAAGTGCTCGGCCGCAAGACTCTCAGCTGCTCTGCCGCCCCAATTCGGGACCTCGCTGCCCGGCCTTTCTGGGTGTGGGCGTGCCTGTCAGAGTCAGGCAGCTGCTCAAAGGGGGCGGGTGGCCCGGTGCCATCTCTGCACCCAGCCCTGACCCTGCTGCCCTCTGGGCCTCCCTCCACCCTCTCCTGCCGACCTGCTGAGATGTCGGATCCCCTGGCACTTGACAGCTCTGAGCCTTCCCGGGTAATGGAGCAGCTGCCACCACTTCCATCCATGCGCGATGCCCAGCAGGGCAGCCTCTGAAGCAGAGGCTGGAGAAGGCTCCGCGATTAATCAATCTTGAGTGTGCCATGCATGCATTCGAGCGGGGGGAGCAGCTCAGCTGGGGAAGCCAAGCAGCGTGCTTGAGCTGATGCGGATCCAAGTGGGGAGAATCCTCATAAAGCCCTCCTCCTTCTCCTTCCTTCCTTCCTTCCTTCCTCCCTCCCTCCCTCCCTCAGGTCTCCCATGATTTTGCTATCAACTTCAACCCAGCGAACGATGAATGCGAAGGTAAGGGCACAATCTGGAGGGCTTCTGTTCCTCCCGCTTTTCTGATTGGCACTGTCACTGATGCTTGTTCCCGCCCCTGCCAGGGCCAGTAAAACTGCTGGAACCTGTGGCCGGATTAGCACATCCTCACTCTAGCTTGTTCACATAGCACGTTTCCCCCGGGACAGCTAAAACCCCTTCTGGATCCAGACAAGGAAAAACGCACGCAGAAATGCTCGTAATCTCTGCCCAGGGCTTCTTGGGAGCAGTAGGAAGGATGTTTCTCTGCTCCTGGCTTAAGTTCAAACTTTCCCTTAACTTGGGAAAAACTGCCCCCTCCCTGGGCTGCTGCTGTCCCCCAGAGAAGGAGCCCCACTGAGCCATTCCCCTCTCCTCGTTAGGGATCCAGGGGGTGGTGGAGTCCTACCAGAGCTGCTTGCCCAAGATTCAGCTCTACGGACCAACCAACGTGGCACCCATCATCTCCAAAGTGGCAGGAGTAGCCGCTAACGAAGAAAAGACCCAGGAAGCTTCGGTGAGCATGTGGGAATCAGCAGAAAGCCTCTGGGGGGACAGGTTGGGGACCGAGACTCCTCTGACCTCGGCGCTTCCACAGTTATGGGATGTAAGCCCTGTGACCAGACTTCCAGCAAGCAAGCTTTCCTTCTGCTTGAGGGAAAACTATAGAACTGGGAGGGAGCGTTACTGTTGGGGATTGGGCCCCTTGCCTGCATGCATGGAAGCGCTGGACGGGCTGGGGGCTGTAACAAAATCCTCCCTCGTTATTGACATGTGCCAAGCAGGCAAGGGCCAAGGGCCACACACGACTTTTCTTGTCCTGGGATCTTGTCAGCTCATGGCTCAGTAGGTGGCTGA